CAGATTTATCAGAAAAAGAGGTCAGAGATAAGACTGTTGACTGTAGCTGAAATTACAAAAGGGGCTAAGGAGACCCTGAAGTACACTAAGCCTTACTAGAACTGCAAACAAGGCTTGACTGAAAATAATGTTAGTATAGTGGTGGAAAGGATGACCCCTCTCAAGAAAAAGAACATTACTTGGAACCACTACCTTTTTTAAGAAAAATATACAGAACTTATTAGTAAATTACTAGACATATCAAAGGATAAGATTACATAATGGAAAACCAAGAGGAAAAAAGAGATAATAGAAATATATCTACAAATGTTCTTGACGAGCCTTTTTAAATAACTATGGTTAAAGTATTTAAGAAATTAAAATTAAAGGAAAAGGTGAAGAAAATGAAATAGATGAGAAAATTTCACAAAGTAGAATGTAGAATGTATAAGACTGACACAGCATAGAACTGAAAGTATTACATATCTGATATGAAGAACTATAGTTGGTTTAACAGCAGAATAGAAACAACCAAAGATAAAAGCACTGAACAAGAATATATCCAGACTGGGCATGATGGCTCATGCCTATAATCTCAGCACTTTGGGAGGCTGAGGCGGGTGGATCACTTGAGGTCAGAAGTTCGAGACCAGCCTGACCAACATGGTGAAAACCGTCTCTACTGAAAATACAAACATTAGCCAGGCGTGGTGATGGAAACCTGTAATCCCAGTTACTCAGGAGGCTGAGACAGGATAATTGCTTGAACCTGGGAGGCAGAAGTTGCAGTGAGCCGAGATCGTGCCACTGCACTCCAGGCTGGGTGACAGAGCACGGTTCTTTAAAAAAAAAAAAAAAAAAAAAAGGATATATCCAAATGGAGAAAGGGAAGAAGAGATGGATGAAATGTATATAAAATTCAGAAAAAAAGTAGAGACAGAAGGGAAGCAGTTAAAATGTCTAACATAACTATAATTGAACTTTAAGAGGAGATAACAGATTGGGACAAAGCAATATTTGGAGGGGTAAAACTGATTATTTTCCAAAAGGGACAAAGACATTAACCTATAAATTTAAGAACCCCAAACAGTATAAACAAAGAAGGAAAAAAAAAACCGACACAGGCAAAAGTGCAAAAATATCTTTCTTAAAAAGAAAGAAGGAAAGAAAAAGACATGCAACCTTAATAGAAGCAATGGCAATATTGACAACTGAAGTCTCAATGATGAAAGGCAGGAGACAATGTAATAACATCTTTAAAGTGCTGAAAGGAAATGCCAACCTTGGCTTTTATGGCTTGCAAATATATCCTAAAAATAAAGATGAAATGAAAACATTTTCAGACACACACATACAAAAGCTGAGAGAATTTATCCATAAGAAATCTGTGCTGAAAGAAATTTAAAATGGAGTTCTTCAGCAGAAGGAAAGTTATATCCAATGGAAACACAGAAATTCAAGAAAACATAAAAATCAATGGTTAAGAAAAATAAATGGACAAAAATAAATGACTAGGGATTGAATGTTAATGATACAATACAATAATATTGTGTGGGGTTTAATTAGATATATAGAAATAAAAAGTATGAAAACTATAAGAGAAGAAGGGAGTGTGTAAATGGAATTAAAATGCTCTGAATTTATAACATTTTAAGGAAGAGTCAAAATTTCTATTTACAAAGCACACATTTTAAAGGTAGTAATCATAAAGATTGCAAGAAAAAGGGAAAACATATAAAGTACACACAATAAACAAAAAAGCTTGAGTGTGTCAAAAGTTGATCTCAAAGAAGAATCATTATTTGAAACAAAGAGGACATTTCATAATGAATATATCACTTTTATTATAATTCCTGTATTTATAATGTCTTTCTTAAAACCCATGTAGCTGGATCCTGTTTCTTTAATTCAGTGTAACAACCTTTATTTTTTAATTGGACTGTTTAATCTATTTACATTTAATGTAAAATGTGATTGAAATTATGTGTAATATATCATATTAGTATTTGAAATCCAGGATTCTATTATAACAGTCCTAGAGAAACCAGATAAATCTACCACTGTCTTGTCAAATGGTCTAATCCAACGTTATCCAACTTGCGGCCCATGGGCCACATGCAGTCCAGGACAGCTTTGAATGTAGCCCAACACAAATTTGTAAACTGTCTTAGAACATTATGAGATTTTTTATTAATTTTTTTTTTTTTAGCTCATTAGTTATTGTTGGTGTATTTTTTATATGGCCCAAGAAAATTCTTCTTCTTCCCCAATGTGGCCCAAGGAAGCCAAAAGATTAGACACCTCTGGTCTAATCTCTCTGCACATTGACATCCCTCATTTGCTTCACTTTTGCCTCCAAGTTTTGCAATAGTGCAACAGACTAGCAGAAACTAAGGCACATACAAGCACTGTAGATGCAAAAAGTCTGTACAGAAAAGCAGCCCAGAAAAGGTTCAGGTGGATATTGAGTGAATTAACATATGGGATTGACTATAAGCCAAGTAAAGGGAATGGGAAAGTAAGATATCAAAAAAGAGAGAGAAGCACCTTTCAAGATATATTGGCATACAGCCATGTGAGTAGAACCAAATTTCCGTGGCCTCCTTTCCTTCTTGTATTACAATTTAGAAACTTGGACTTAGGAGATTCACAATGCTTCTCTGTAATGTATAATAAAGTTTTGGGAAGTGTGTGTGTGCTTTGGACACCTTGGTCAAATGACTTATCCTGCTAGGGCTCAGTTTTGTCATCTAAAATTCAGTATAATACTACATTACACAATTCATACAACTGTTGTAAGGGTTAAATTAAATAAGACAAAGTACAGGCAAGGATGTAGTGTAGTCCTGAAACATGGAAGATATTTAACATGTGTTTCTGTTATCTGGCAACGATCATGAGAGTTTATAATAAGAAAGAGGACTTGGGACAAGTGATGTGCTTACTTACTTTACTTTCTTCAATTAGGAGTCAATCCTACTAGGCCAATAGCCAAAGGAAATGGTGAGCAGAACTTATGGTGGCACATTCATTCTTGACTCACATGTGAACACAATATAATTTCATGTCTCCTTGATAAAACTACTTTTCTACAGGGGAAAATAAAAGGCAAGTAGAGAGGTTTCAGCCTACGGATGAAATACACAGTGTAACATGAGACAGCTGTTGCAGAGCCAACAAAAAAATAATATTCAGTTAAGTGAGTCACAGTTCCTTGAAATTGTATTCCATGCCCACAAATGCAGAAGGCTCCCTGAAGTTGGGTTATTATTATCTTTTTTTTTTTTTTTTAAGTTTCATTGAGGTATACGTTATATGCAATAAAAATAATCAATTTTAAGTATACAATTCAATGAGCTTTGGCGAATAACTGCAATGGTAACCAACATAATATAAAACAGAAACTAATCCTTTCCCCGACAACCTGGACCTTGGGCTAACTGATTTGCTTTTTGTCATGTTAGTTTTGCTTTTTCTAGAAAAAGATATCATACAATATATAATCTTGGTGGCTGGTACCTTTTATTTAGTAATGTTTCTCAACTTTTTGTGTTTGTTATGGTCCCTCTAATGAGTATTTTTCCCTAATTGTCTCTCCCCACTTAATGAAATTTTGCTACCACAGATATATCTATATGTCTATGTACTGTGTATACACCTGTGCTTTATACAGAGTAAGATTTTCTTTTTTCACAGCTCAAAATGTTTTGCCCCTTACAAGGTGCTGTCACCCCATTGAGAATACATGATTTAGTGTAATGTTTTTGAGATTCATCAGTATTGTGTATATCAGAAGTTGATTCATTTTATTGCTGGGTAATATTCCATTACACAAAGAGACATTCAATAAATGAATAAGAATAATTGAATATGTGTTACGAAGGTCAGGGAGTGAGTGCATAATGCAATTACTGTTCTTTCTCAAATCTTAGTCTCCCTGGTGTTAGTAGACATACCTCTAATAACACAATTGTTCAAGTAAAAAATATGAGAGTATCAAGACACTTCATTTTGCCTCATTTCCCCATATCAAAACCATTAAAGCCTGCCAATTTCATCTCTTGATTATTGCTTGAATCTTGTCTCAAGGGATCAGATTTTGCCACTGTAACCCAGAACATTCCAGACATGTAAGGCTATCAATCTTTATCTTAGAAGAGATGGGAAGCCATTGAAGGGATTTAGATAGGAAACTGACATGACTTTCTCGTGAAATTAAAAGATTACTAAATCTTTTATGGCAAGCAATGAATAAGAATATGGAGAATGAATTAGAAAGGACTGAGAGTATTTGTGGAGCAGATCTTTCAGGAGTCCAGGGGATAAATGACGATGGCTCTGTCATGAATTTTCAAGGCCTTTGAGAGTAGATGAGAAATTGGGAGACATGCTATATTTTCCGTGGGGCCCATGGGAAGGCTTAGCAAGGCCTCACTGCTGGATGATCACATAATTATAATGAGAAATTCAGGTGAACCTTCCTATTGCTTGCTGCTGCCTTGACTTAGAAGATATTTTTGGTCAAATTAATCAGTATTCTAACTGAATTAAGTATGAATATTCTTGGGTTATTTGCTAATAAGTAAGAAAGAATTAGAGAATTATAATCATGTCCATAAGAAAAAAAAATTGTATACTTCATGAATCCGTCGATCTTTCTATCCATCTTACAACTTTTTAAAGGGTTACTGTAGTACTAGTATCCAAGTATCAGCCCCAGATGGTCTGCAATCCTCCTGAAGTTTTATGTAAATTGTCTTATCTACATACACATCTCTGGGGGGCAACTTGAAGATTAAAATTCGATTTTTATTCCTATTAAAGAGTAAGAATCAATGGCTTCCTGTGCTTTAGGTTTAGGGTATGCAAACATTCATAGGACATAATCTTCATTCTTAAAGCATGTAAAGTTTATATCATGTAAGCAGATAAATGACAAAGTCACATTGTCAGTGCTAGAAAAGAGATAGGAACAAAGTTCTGAAAGCTTGTCAGTTACTCTGGTGCTTTGTCTCCTCCAGGTGACTTCCCAAGTATGCCTGGCCACAATACCTCCAGGAATTCCTCTTGCGATCCTTTAGTGACATCCCACTTAATCAGCCTCTACTTCATAGTGCTCATTGGAGGGCTGGTGGGGGTCATTTCCATTCTGTTCCTGCTGGTGAAAATGAACACCCGGTCAGTGACCACCATGGCGGTCATTAACTTGGTGGTGGTCCACAGCATTTTTCTGCTGACAGTGCCATTTCGCTTGACCTACCTCATCAAGGAGACTTGGATATTTGGGCTGCCCTTCTGCAGATTCGTGAGTGCCATGCTGCACATCCACATGTATCTCACATTCCTGTTCTATGTGGTGATCCTGGTCACCAGGTACCTCATCTTCTTCAAGCGCAAAGACAAAGTGGAATTCTACAGAAAACTGCATGCTGTGGCTGCCAGTGCTGGCCTGTGGACGCTGGTGATTGTCATTGTGGTACCCCTGGTTGTCTCCCGGTATGGAATTCACGAGGAATACAATGAAAAGCACTGTTTTAAATTTCACAAAGAGCTTGCTTACACGTATGTGAAAGTCATCAACTATATGATAGTCATTTTTGTCATAGCCATTGCTGTGATTCTTTTGGTCTTCCAGGTCTTCATCATTATGTTGATGGTGCAGAAGCTACGCCACTCCTTACTATCCCACCAGGAGTTCTGGGCTCAGCTGAAAAACCTATTTTTTATAGGGGTCATCCTTGTTTGTTTCCTTCCCTACCAGTTCTTTAGGATCTATTACCTGAATGTTGTGACGCACTCCAATACCTGTAACAGCAAGATTGCATTTTATAACGAAATCTTCTTGAGTGTAACAGCGATTAGCTGCTGTGATTTGCTTCTCTTTGTCTTTGGAGGAAGCCATTGGTTTAAGCAAAAGATAATTGACTTATGGAATTGTGTTTTGTGCCGTTAGCCACAAACTACAGTATTCATATTTGCTTCCTTTATATTGGGAATAAAAATTGATATAGGGAGGTAAGAATGGTATTTCATTACTTAATCAAAACCATGCCTTGATCTACACAAAACGAAAGAACTATAAAATGTCAGAGCCTTCATTGTAGTCCTTATGGGATCCCTGCCATCTCTGAGTGATGCCCATACAAAGACCAGTGATGTTGATTCCACCTGGAGTTGCAATATTACATTATTTTCCAATACAGAATGTCTGCATGGCCCATTAAAGCAACATAGGTCTTAAGAATTTTGGAGTTTCATTAGCTCATTCTAATTTCCTCTGTTTGAAGCATGATCTTTTCTTAGGTGTTGGACTGAACTCAGCCCTTTAGTTCTTTTCATCCCACTAAGTACTTCCTGACCACCACCCAGCTCCAAAGACACAAACTCTCCTTGGCTAACCAGGTTAGATGTCCCATTCATCTCACACCCTGATGAAAACTGATAAGGGGAGAGAATAGTTAAAAATTTTTCTAGGGTATCATAACTCTGGTGGGAAGTCATCTGTCTAGAAATCAAGAGACAAAGAACGTGTGGCCTTCTGTTTTAACAAGGTTTTCTAGATTTGTCCTGTGAAAGGTCATTTCACGACATGGAGATCAATTTCCTCAATATCACCAATTGCACTGTTGCTCCAAAAATCATTTAAAAGCTTACTGGACATATCTACATAATGGTGAAACTGTAATTTAGAAAATATTCTTGACCAATGTGCTGGTAGGCATTAAAATGAGTTCCCAAGGGAAGTGATTAAAATTTTTTTCTCTTCTGTTTTTTGAGAGAATTTCTAGATGTCCTGGGCCACAGTAAATTAAGATTTTTACGGGGACAGAAAGTTATACTGAAATCTTTAGAGCTCCCTTCCACCGTTAAAATTATAGATATATAATTTTTAAATTATACCTTAAGTTCTGGGGTACATGTGCAGAATGTGCAGATTTGTTACATAGGTTTACATGTGCCATGGTGGTTTGCTGCACCTATCAACCCATCTACATTAGGCATTTCTCCTAATGCTCCCCCTCCTCTAGCCCCCTACCCCTGGACAGGCCCCAGTGTGTGATGTTCCCCTCTCTGTGTCCATATGTTCTCATTGTTCGACTCCCACTTATGAGTGAGAACATGCGGTGTTTGGTTTTCTGTTCTTGTGTTAGTTTGTTGAGAATGATGGTTTCCAGGTTAAAATTATATATTTTTAAATAGATGAAAACTATGTTTTTATTTTTTTTTTTATTTTTTTTTTTTTGAGACGGAGTCTCGCGCTGTGTCACCCAGACTGGAGTGCAGTGGCGCGATCTCGGCTCACTGCAAGCTCCGCCTCCCAGGTTCACGCCATTCTCCTGCCTCAGCCTCCCAGTAGCTGGGACTACAGGCGCCCGCCACCACGTCCGTCTAGTTTTTTGTATTTTTAGTAGAGACGGGGTTTCACCATGTTAGCCAGGATGGTCTCGATCTCCTGACCTCGTGATCCACCCGCCTCGGCCTCCCAAAGTGCTGGGATTACAGGCTTGAGCCACCGCGCCCGGCCGAAAACTATGTTTTTAAAAGAGAACTTTTGAGAAGTATATAGCAAAACCATTAATTTAGACTCTGTGAGATTAGGTTGCATGAAGAAGGTTTTCTGAATATTTGAAGAATGGATGAATAAATGTATTCGAAAGTAATAAAAGTATAATCCTTTAAAATATAGGAAAAATAACTAATGGGTACTAGGCTTAATACTTTAGGATGAAATAATCTGTACAACAAACTCCCATGACACATGTTTACATATGTAACAAACCCGCACATGTACCCCTGAACTTAAAATAAAAGTTTAAAGTAATAATAATAAAATAATTTGGATTTTCTTTCCAAATTCTGAGTTACTTTCTGTAAAATTGTATTAATGACTTGTGACATGTGGCATGTTAAACTGACTTTATTTCAAAAACTTCCATTACTAGCTAGGTTGATACATTGGCTTGTGGATTTTTGCTTTTTGTGTTTTTTTACCTCCTGCCCATACTCTACTATCTTCAATGTTTTATCTCCTTAAAAATTTCCCAGGATCAGATCCAGTTTCATAATTAATGCTTCAGAAAACCTAGGGTAATTAGTAACATGAATAGAATAACATAATGAATTAAGGGAACTTTTTTTTCATCAAGATATATCTTCAGGATTTAAAAGTTTTTCTTAATTTATTATCACTCTGTGGATCCACAGATTCCTCAGATGAATAAGAAATACCTCTGTGAATTTCTGTGACAACTAAAATTAGTGAGCCACAGAAATTAATTTGAGGAAGCAGAAGTAGCAACATAGTTCAAACATGACTTGTTTCCATATATTTTCTGTTTTATATATTGTTTTAAATGTCCTTTTAAAAAAGTAATATTTATTTTCTTTCTTGCCTTTTTTCCCATTTATTTTTTACATTTTTTCTCTCTCATTTTGGACCATAAAATTTATAAGACAATTACTAAGACCCCTGATAGTTTTAAGAAAATTTATAATACCTGTAAATATGTAAAAAAAAGAAATTTAGAAAATATTTAAATCAAAAGTATTCATTAGAATTTCATTACTTTGTAGATTATATCATACTCTCTTCCACATTTTATATATGTTGAGGTCAGGCAATTCAAAAGAATTAATCTCTGTATTAATCTGTTATAATGTTAACATAACACTATGTTATTTTCATACATTATAATAAAGGGCTTATTACAAATGTTACTCAAAATATAGAAATGCAATATTTCATAATATAAAATATCTTTTTCATCAGTATTTACAGAGTGAATAGAAAAATTTTAGTTTTCCTGTTCTTTGTCTTTAGTCAATACAGAAATGAACCTCATGTGGGATTGGGGGTGACATTGGCCTCTAGGGCCATTTTTGGATATCACCATTATAAGAGAGCACTAGTATTAGCATTTGGTGGTGGGAGCCAAGGAATAGACATCCTGCCTTGCACATAATTGTCCGTACAATAAAGAACCATCAGGCCTTGCTCTCTATTTGAATGCCCTATTAGATATTAATGAAGTGAAACAAAACCATCAGAGCAGTTACCAGGTTTTACCCAGTTTTCATAAACACATAGTATTTTTTTGTATAGCTTTAATTCTCTGAATTTTCTGGAAATGCAATTATCATGGATTGAAGAAAGATTTTACTTTGGTTTCCTCTGAACTTTACCAAGAGTTGTTCAGTCCTTTGGAAATGACATAAGTAGCAATGCCATTTATGACATTAAAATATGACACAACATGCCTGTAGGCAGTATTTGTAGCTGTTGTATTCAGGGAATATTACATACAGGTGTCAGCATCAGACTCACTCATTTTGTCTCTTTATGTGGTGATGCCTAAGCATTTACACACTGAATTATATACTAGTATTGATAACTTTTCTTTTCATTACTCATTTATATTACAGTGAGAACATTATATGTAAAAATAATGTGTATGTTTACATTATTAGTGTAGAAAGCATATACATTTCATTCCGAAATGGTAAAATTATCTGTAAGTTTTATTTTAGAATGGTAAAACTATTATCAAATATTTGTGATAAAAAGCAAAGTATTGGGTCTGAGAAAGCTGAGAACCACTAAATTACCACAAAGGGACAAAATAAGAGGAAAATTTATAAATTTTAACATTATAAACAGGAAAAATATTTCTGTGTTTCTGAGATACTTACCTCATCTTCATTCAATTCTAAATTACTTCTTTTGTTTCTAAAGCAATTAAATGCAACTTTTAGAAAAATGTGAAGAAAATATACATGTGTATTTTCTTTTTTAATGAGAAAAATACATTTTTTTCTGAGCCTCACCACTCTCAGATAGGCTCTTGATCACCATCTACCAGATTTTTAACCCAGGCATAATAATTTTTGAGGTCCAGGCAGAAAGATCTCTTCAGGCACCCATTAAAAGGGACAGTACATGCTCTTATTTATTCCTTAATTTTCCTGTGACAGGATCATTGAGTCCGCTGCCTTCCTCCCCAGCTTCATTTAAATTCGGGATAAAAAGATTGTTTCACTTGTAGGTGAAATGAACTTTTTGTAAAGTGATTCAAGAGGTGCTAATGAATCCCTCCTGCCTCCCCAAATCCTCCTCAATGAAGCTGCCATGAAAACACGATTGTTGGGTTAAGATTCAGTTTTTCTGAAGGACGGTATTGGGCCAATCCATTCTCAGTCACTGGTTTTTGGTGTGAAGTTAGAATTTGGGACGCTGTTGTAGCTTTGATTGGATAGATTTTGCCCACTTTCCTCTATGAGACAGACAGAGGCCAAAGACTCTCACACCTATTGGGGCAGGAACAAGGAAGCTCTTCTTGTTATAGGGGCCAACTACAGCATTTTGTAAATACTTGGTACTGAGAGCTCCATGGTAAAGGGGCACAAGGATGGCAGAACTGCGGGGATAATGCTCAGAGATTGCAACATGCCAAGGGACACCCATGGGGATTGGAAACCAGGGGAATCTGAAGACCCAGCAGGAGCTGCTGGGGAAATGAGACCCAGGACTGAGAACCCTAGCTGAGAGCAGGAGGGGCTTGTGGGAGTCTTGCTCAGGAGTTCTGAGCAAACAGGACTGTTCTTGAAAAACAGAGCAATGGAGGCAGCAAACAAAGAAGACAGTTTTGAACAGGAGGTAAGAAGGTGCTGGAGAGTGAGGTTTGTTTTATTTGCAGTTTGTCCTAATCGTTTATGTCATTAGCAATGAATGATTCCTGCCCTTTGTTGTTGATCTGGGCCACAGATCTCATGGAGGACAGGGTGTGGTTACAAAAATGTAACCACTGGCAACCTGATCAGAGATTTTGGATAAAGATCTCCAGCTCATCCCTAAGTCAAGTAAGAAAAGAATCCCTTGGATTTAGAAGAGTCAGAAGAGTTTCCCTTCTGTTTTCAGGAAAGCATCATCTTACATGTCAGGAGTAGACACTTGCCAAAGTCTACACCTGCCTTCTGGCACCCTCAGGAGGGTCTGGAAAGACATCTAGGCCCCCTCTCCAGTGATGTTCACTTCTGTATAACACAGCACACCTCTTACCACAGCCCAGTTGGGTACCCCATTCTCTGAGTTGTCCTTTGCCTCTCAGAATTCCATTATTTTCATAGCATTGTGCTTAACAATGGCGCACACTACTGACCTGTACACTTAAGAATGCCTAAGATGGTTGATTTCATGTCATGCATATTTACCACAATAAACAATTTTTTAAATTAGAAGATATATATATCATATATATATTTAGTTATATATATAACATTTCTAAATATATATGTGTATACATTTAGAAACTTTAATAGGCAAGAACTGAGCTGATGGAGAAAGTTAAAATATTAGAAAGAAAAAAGCTAGTCTGAGACATAAAAAGAGTTCAGTCCTCCTATCAAGGGACTACCTATAGGGAAAGCAAATGGAAAACACTTCAAATCTGGACATATCCTTGGAGAATGCTTTTAATATTAAGAACAAAGAATTAGTACAAAAAGAGCCAGGCAAGAGAAATGTTTACCTCTAAAAGAAAGAAAAACAATTAGAAAGGTATTATTTTCCTTCACAGCCTAAGTGCCAGAAAATGGGAGTCAATGCCTATTGGATTTTGGTTTAAAACATCATGGCTAAGAACTCTCTAAGTAGGCAACTACTGTGCATGCCCCTAGGTAGACAAAGGGACTTGAGACGGATTTTCCTCTCCATCTCGTGGCTTATCATCTCAAAGCCATTGCTTCTCCAACTCCAGGGTCTTCCCCAGGTAGGAGAGCAACTCTACTTGATTATCTTGAGGTCAAATTATTTTTCCAGGAGGCAAGTTGCTGGCGAATCCTAACATTCCTTCTAGAATAAGATCCATTCAGCACTCGGTCTAGAAAAATGTTTCTTCCATGATTCTGACAATAGGAAGGCAGGTTTCCCTGGCCTCTT